GTGTGTCGGTGTGTGTGCCTGACCGGGAATTCATAACTCCTGTCCCCGTGGCGTTCAAACTTGGTAGGAGAAAACGGGGCAGGATGGGAACACCTTTGGTAAGTGGCAGGACTGGACTCCGTTCACAGGGAGCGAGGCGTGCACGATAAAAATTTTAGGACGCAAATTCATAACTCCTGTCCCCGTGGACCTGGAGCGTTCAAACTCGGTAGGAGCACGGGCGGCAGGATGGGAACATTTAAGTGGGAGGACCGGACCCCGCTCATAGAAGGCGAGGTTACGCCAAAATTTCCAGTTTGGCTCTAGGGCGTTTAAACTTGATAGGAGGCAGGCGGCAGTATGGGAGCACTTATGATGAGTAGTAGGGTCGGACTCCACCCCCTAGGGACGGGTTTTTTTTTATAAATGAGTGGAAATCCATAACTCCTGATCCCGTGGACTTGGAGAGCAAAATCAGTAGGAGGAGGGAGGATGGAAACACTGACAATAGAAGAGGCCCTAGAGAAGAAGATCCACTCACCAATCACCTCCTAGCGCCTTTCTTATTTACGATCTAGCTTTGACTTTTTGATATGTTTCATTCGACAAGAAAGGTAAGTGGTGTGATTATAAGGAGATGAATTTGGTTCACCTTTTGCTATCAGATTACGACCGCTACCACTGAGGAACATTGATGGTAGCTAACATAGTAGCCTCAGCCGCGGTGAAGTCTCTGAATACTATCTTTCTCTGAATAATCGCCTTTGTGATATTGTACGATGTTCTATTCGGACACAGCGAAGATGGCTTACAAGAAAAATCGCTCGCAGTTCGGAGCTAATTCTTACGGTGTAGAGCTTTCTAAGAAAAAAGAGAATCCGAATTATTATTTACCATAGCAAATTTGTCACAGGAAGGAGGAACCCCCGGCGTAGCCGGGCGAACCCGTAAGAAGGAGGAGAGCCTGGCGTTAGCCGGGCGATCCGACTGGTGGATCTGTAAACCAAGTGACGTCCGAGTCCATCGCAAATGAAGTGCCTCTGGAACTGATAATTACTGTGGATGGTGTGGATCGACATGATAAATTCGGACAGCATTTCAACCTGTACTTGACGCGGGTTCAGTGGTAGCCTCATTCTCAAGAGGCACAAAGCTCCATAGCATAGTATAGCAATCCTTATATACAGTGACGAGCAAAGCATCTATCGGGAGAAGCATCCCATTGTGAAATTGAACATCACGAACCTTACATCAGAAATGATCACGATGGCGCGCCGTAATTTCTTGCGACATACCCTGCGCATCCATTCCACTCCAGTCCGTGAGTCCTGACATGATACTCTTCGACCGTTCTGCTCGGACCAATCTTGGCGTTGAACACCGACGATGACATTGAAATAAGTATAATATTCTCTGTAGAGCCTTTCCAGACGCGTACAGAATGCTTACAGCTCTTCTTCGTCGTTGCTCGATGTTGGTGCGTGGACAACGAGGATTGTTAGAGCTGGGGTTAAACCACGTCTTCTCAGTTGCAAGCGTCCGATGCAGGTTGTCAAAATTTTTACGAATCGATGTTCATCGGCTGAGTGCGTATTGACGAAGACACCTACGCCGCTGACATCTTTGCTGTCCCATGTTCCAAGAAACAGTTCTTCTCCAGTCTCAAATATAGGGTATAGCGGGTGATGCCTTCCGGTCTCCGTCAGTCCGATGTTTGTACTTGACCTTTCTGGCTTGCATCGTCAGATCTTCACGCTTCCGATGCAAGCGTTCGTGTATTCAGAGTACAGACCGCCATCTTAGTCCTTCTTCCTCCTTTCAAGTAGCCTGTTATGGCGCTGAGATTTGAGCAGCCTTCCCGAGCGGTCCTGTATTGGGGGCCTTCTCGGGTTCAGGAAAATTAGGCTCATTTTATCACTTTTCTGCTGTATGGATACCCACATATAGCTTGCCAGGCCCATTGAGAATATGACACCAATTCCAGGCAAAATGAATTGGTTTTTTTTGACATTTTCCAGTTTGTGGAAAGATTTTTTCCAGTCCTTGCAGGGATCTTTCGTCGGAATCTGAGAGGGCGGCGTGGAAGACACTTTGAGTCGCAGACAACTATTACGCTGAAACCTTAAAGCTATGTTTTTCCCTTCCATTGGCCCCGTTGGGCGTGTTCGGATACGCAGCTGGTGGGGTAACGTACGCGGGATTTGAATGAGGATTTTAGGAAAGTTTGGAAGGGCTGAGGGCGATAAATGGGGCCATTTGAATAGGGAATAGGGTTGAGGATAGGATCCGCAGGAAGTACAAAACTGTTTCGGAAGAGTATAAAGGAGGGTTTGGACAATAGCAGAGTCAGCTCATTATCATTTATCCGGACGTTCGTTTTGTTTTTACGACTCCACGTACTTACTTAATCCAAACCCGCGCCCCTATCCCTACAGTATCTCACTTCCTACAGATCCTACCCTCTCCCCACTCAAATGATCATTATTCAAACTCGTCTACCTCACTGCCTGCGAAGGTGGTGAAGTGGCAAGTGGTGCATTATGCATAGTTCGAGTCCCGAATCGATATCCTCTTAGGCCAGCCGAACCTTTCATCCTCCGGGGTCGGTTGGTTGGTACTAGACTCGTCCGGTAGGAAAAAAGCAGTCACTTGACATCGTTCAATACGCCACTACGATTCTGGACGGAAGTCGAATGCGGGGCGCATCCCTCATACTGGATTAATCAACGTCGAAAAACTTTATCCTTCCTCCGTTTATTATTCCAATGACCTCGGCTTCCCGTCATCACAGTACCCCGCCACCTGCGAATCAGAGTCCTCCGAAACTCCTATTCAAATCCCGCGCCACTGCTGTATCTGGCCCCTTGATTTCCAAACGCGCCCGCCAGGAAACCTATCAGTGGTAGACACGCGGCAAAAAAACGGTTTTAGACCAGTTTTTCAACACAGGTTGACCCATACATAATTAGGTAGCATTTTTTGAGCGAAATCTATAACTGTACACTTTAGTTGCAAAGGGGCCAATGGTAGGGAAAAACACACTTTTATGATTTTGGGTGTGACGAAGAGCGAAGTTCGGGGCCTTATCAAGGGAGAAACTTTGGTATATGATCAGGTGTACCATAAAATCTTGCTAAGAACAAAGAGTTGACTACGATAGTAGTAAAGAGCGTTCAATGCCGCCTTCCCAAAATTCGACGAAAATCTCTCCAAAGACTAGAAAAGTCAAAAAACTGACTCATTTATTTCGTTGGAACTTCGTATCATATTCTCAAGGTGACATGTAAGGAAGAGTGTCGCTGCAGAGACTAGATTCAGTCATCTACCGCCTCCTCATTAGAAATGAGCGATGGAGACTGAACAAATCCAATCAATTATTCAAGTACGTGGCGCGCTCTATGGCGATTTCTAAACACTTTATACTCACGGACCAGTCAGCTCCTACAAGCACACCTCACGTACTGCAAGTAAATTGGAACGTAAACGCATGGCGCAATCTAAAACGAAGCTTTTTCAATACTTCGAGGTGTCTGCTTGAAGAACTATGCTCAGCGTACCTTCTGCTCCTAGAATACTCCACTCTAAACCGACGCTTGGATAGTACATGAAGAAGTCGCGGCGGTCGCGTGAACTTCCGAGTGCTTACGACGAGTATTGTACGAATTCAAATCTCAGCAGTTTTACGGTAAAGTCAGATGAGTGGCGCATTCTACTGATCTTAGTTGTGATAACAACGTTGCTCTTCGGCTTCTTGTTCTACCGTAGCTCCCCTCAAGCATGCATTGATATTCAGGTGTAACAAAACTCGATATTCCATATTTCAAACGAAATCTCATAAATATTTAATTTCTGAGAAAATAATACAAAGTTTAAAAAATTGTGCAAAATATTGTAGAAATCTTAACACCAGTATCACACGGCACTTGATAAGAGCGATTCTGAGGGAAGTAATAGGATGCTCTCAAATGAAGACGTAGCTTTCACATCCTAGAGAAGCAGACAGAGTACACACCTCAGCGCCTCATAAACTTAGACCCCTTCCACATCTAGAAGCAATGTCTATCTTAATAGAGTCATAGAGTAGCAAACAACGTAGAAGAGTAGCAAAAAGGTAAAAAAAAAAAGCTGAGATCCACCCTACAAGACCTGTCATTTGATTTATACCTGAAAATCGGTGAGCTACTAATTTGGTTAACTGTATATCTTGCTCATAAAGATGAACTTGTCCAAATACAAATACAGCGAATACCAGTGGAATACTTTACCACCCAATAGGTTGTACTTTGATCATCAGTAAGTCCGAAACAATTCGACCACAGGTACTATGTAACAAGAATATCAGTGGCAGTGATTGTCCAATGCGGGCGAAGGCGAGTGTGACCAAGTCCCTTCAGAACGCCAACATTCTATCCGTACTCATGGAATATGTGCATCGAATTGACATTCAGACGTAGTTCCTAAGCCGCTCAGCGACTAGACGCACTTCGTGCCGCTGAAATTATGAATTTAGGGTTTTAACGAAAATTTAACCGAAGATTTCGAATCGTGGAAAACTTTATACGCTCTCAAAATGTACCGTACGAACGCACTGTATTAAAATGGCGTCAATCAAAGGATATGGTAAGCTGCTCCCGAAAATCGCGCCCCGCTCGCCGCACCCAATCAAGCGCAGTCGTGGCTATGAAGGTGACTGTTTGAATTCTCAGTGGAAGGATACGGCGACCGCTACCGCTCGCCGTGGGAATTCGTGGGTCCTACCACAGAAAAGAAACCATCAGCCAGTGAATTTTCATTCCAGAAAAAAGGTGGTAACTTGGCCGTAACCTTTTTTCCATGTGGCGACTATGAAGTACTTAGTTAGCTTACCCTCTCGAGTTCAGCTCGCAGTACGAGATCCGATTTGCACAACGGATAGATCGTCGACGGAACGAGGTCGAAATGTGAGTCATTGTCGAATCTTTGTGATCGTACGAACGAAGCTTGCGAAAATTGTCGAGGACTGCGACGCCATTCCTAGATCATCCACAGTGTTGATCTTATCTCAATCGGCCACAACTGGTGGACCATTTAATAAGACATATATTCTTTGCAATTTATTCAAACTTTTCCGTGGTAGATGGAGTGCCATTTGATATACTGCCTCGCCTTATTGGGAATTCTTTTACGAACAACCAGATACTTAAGACCTGATCATTGCATTCAAAACGGTCAACGTTGCAATCTGGTTTCACGTAACGAAGGGCGGGAATGCACACCGGCTCAGGAATGCCCGAAGAAAGTCTGTTGTGGTGTGAGTGAGAGGATGAGGACTGTAAAATATAGCGAAGCTCTCGCGTTATTGTGGAATGTGCGTGTGGAATGAATCGTATGGAAGGTAGGGGATAAAGGCGCTAAGCCACGATCGAGACTTCCTTGAAGCAGGCTTCGCAGAGCATGACGAAAATCTTTTGATATTTATCTAGGTAATTTGTTAATTTCGAAGTGTGTGTGCCCTACAGTGGTTATGAACAGAAAAAATCGCAAGCGCAAAATATGTGAGAAACGGCCTTCTGCTTTGCATCCTATTTTGCTCAATTGGGGCAATATCGCGGGTCCGGAATCTTCTCCCCGAAGACGGGGTCGCGCACGCCGCACCCGCCGCGCATCGCAGGATTGCGATGGAAGATTGGAGCGCGCAATTCGTGAGGTAGGGAATTCTTTAATTATTTGAATTGGCTGACCGCTCCCTTCAATTCCAATGCGGTATTGATCGTCGCTAATTTAGGAGGAGTCATTCTAATTAAACAGGTCTAATAAACATAAAAACAAGATAAAGAAAGAGAAAGAAAGATAAAAAACGATCAAAACTAACAAAAAAAGAGAGGCGACCAACGAAAAATATTGCGTCATATCGATTGGCGGGTAGGCGGGGTGA